CCAAAGAAGAGGTGGAGGACGTAATCAAGAAGGACCTAGTGAAATCACGGCCACAGCAGAAGATGCCCTGGACAGAGCAAGTGGCGACGACTGACAAAGACAGCGGACCCTGCGACTGCGCGGGACTAACGCTAGGGAGAAGAAGAAGAAGAGGGCCGAAGTGGTATAGTGGCAAGTGGCGCGCTTATCAGCTCTTATCAATCGTTATCAGTTTATATCATTCACCACTTGTGTCCCCATCCCACCCCCTATAACATATGTAAGAACCATGGCGCTATCATTGCTGTGACTCGAGCTACGAATTTCCGGTCATACGTAGAATGACCGCTATTTTCATACCCATGCCATTCTTCCCAAAGAAGTGTTTGTGTTGTTACCAGTAGAGCGCTATGTGGCTATTTAGTATTCTTATATAGTATTTTACAAAATTCAAATCTCAAATTCAAAACTCCTCACTTTGAAGTAATAATGCCATTTCCAACCTATGTTGGTCACTGTCTATTTTACGAGCTACGCCTGGGACACTCAGTGAGAGAAGCCTATCGTAATATTTCTGAAGCTGAGAGGCAAGACACAGCAAAAGAGATGATTTGTTGGAAGTGGTTCGGGGAGATTTGCCAGGGCGACTACAACTTCGAGGATCGACCACGTCCTGGATACCTAGTGAGCAGATATTGAAAGTATCCGAGAGCTTTTTGAGACAACCATGGGCCAGTGCCCATACTGCGGTCGGTTTCTATCCTCCCAGAGCACCATGAGTCGTGCCCTTTGCGCCACGCGGAAATTGTGACCTTAGGGAAGATGGAATCCTCACGAGATGCGGAGTCGTCATTGGCGACATGCAGCGCAGCAGCGACATCGAACTCCAAGACCTTCACTCAAAGTGGGCTCCAATCTACAATTTTTGATCGGATCATTACAGACTCAAACCGATGGCACAACCGTTAGACGCTTATGCACCCCTATCGACCGACAGTTATGGTTAGTGCTTGCAGCAGCGAAGACTGGATATCGCAAAGTTGAGACTACCAGTGGATGAAATCCTTCCACCGCGTGGCAACTCGCTACACCCACACCCACCTATCACGAGCAAAAGTCAGAATACCATATCCCACTCTTATCGAGCAAGAAGTCGAATACCATCACCAGAACTCCGGATTGCGCTCCAATGATCCCCCCCTCCCCCGCCGCTCGTTTCAAATCCAACTGATGCTATGCCAACCAGAGTACCGTTGTTCATGCTCCGCTCTTCAGGGGAGAACTACGATGAGCGAACGACTTCGAACCAACGCCTAGACATTCTTCTCTTCGATTCTCCTGGTATTGTGAGAGTTAGTCCTTGTCATAAACTTCTTGATTTAGATGGCGAAACAGATTGTAACGACAGTTTGTGGCTAAATGTGGCTGGCACCTGAATACGAGATGAAGACTGAGAAAGTTATGTAATTTATTGAAACAACCTGTAATTAGCGCTGACTTTTTTGTTCCCACGGACGACAAATTGTTTTCTAGCCATGTGTATAACTCGCTGCCCCAAGAATGGGGCTGGGGGGTAATGTGAGTTTGGCCACCGACAATCGCAAAATGACGAAATCATGTTTCTTTCCTAACTATCTCACAAATGGGTGGCAGTGCTGCAGTGCAAGTAACCCACGCTACCACATCCCCAGGCTCGGAATCACCTGGCGTCCATCGGGTCCTGCAGTTTTCCGAGCCAACCATTGTGTCTCTAGTCCCTCGGGCCCTCAGTAATGCTAACAGGCTTGTCTGGTAGACCAAACCACTGACTTGTACATCGAGAGTGGGCCCCACGCGTCATTGCATAAGGCAACATTCAACTCACTACGCCAATGCAGCAACTGAAATAATAAGAGCGTCATTTCACAACTAACTAATACCACGCTTCCTGGGAAAGCTCTCCTAAATCTGCCTCAGATTAGAAATTCGACTCAATTTTGACGAATGTTGTGGTCATGTCAACTAATATTAGGGCAGTTTCACCGTTCCCCAACTATTAGATAATCCAGCTTCAAAATGAACTCCTGACTCCTTCGAGCGATCGAGTTGCTCACGTCAGCCGAGATTCAAGTTTCCCTCGACGTCTCGCAAGACCTTACCCTGCTTCATAGCAAGGCTTCTCCCCAAAACAACAACTGTCCGTTGTTAAGTAGCTTTATCGAAATAAGCATGAAAATCTTGAATATGAGTTATAAAACGTACGGATGGGACCGCGCTTTGTACAACATATGGCCATATACCCGTGAGAAACAATGGAGGTCGAAAGAATTAGAAAAACAATATTCCATTCATAAAATTAGGGTGGGACTAATAAAGCGAGCGAGAGTCATGGAAGGGGTAAGATCAGCGGCGACTAGGAGCGGCATCGATGAATTAGACGACTTTGGATGGTCGCCAGGCGTTCTGACCATGTGACGACATCGGAACGTAGTGCGACGGTGGATGCGGTGGCGGTGCTGTTGGCGGCTCCAGAAGCGGACGTGTGGCACCAGCTGCGTTGGCTGTGGCCGGTTTCTGAGGTGCAGCACGACACATTCCGCAGCACAGCACACGATGCCATGACATCAACGTCTTCGGAGACAGCACCCACATAGCACATGAAGCTCCCACAGCCAGCGACATCATCAGGCTCAGATGATAGATCTCTGCCTGAAATAGAGCAGCTCACAGGTACAAGCTTATAGCACGCTTGATGGCTCTCACGTCATTAAACATTCAGAACGGTGGTTTAGCAATAATGGCGATCTCGGGCGGATACAAGCGACAAAAGGAACGTCCACACTTCCCCAACAGTGATCAAGGTATACCAATTCAATTTTGCTTCCCCAGTTACAGTTCGACCCTTTACTCATGACTTTTGAAGTACAACCCCTGTACTCAAGTGATTAATACCAAAAGGGCATTATGGGTTCCCTGGTCAGGAGAAATACCATGAGCTCGGATGATCCCAGTGCTGAGAAGAATTTAGAGAGGAATACCGATTCTTGAGAATTTGACATATCCACAGTTGAGACCCCTTTTTCCCAAGAACAAGCTACATGGTCGGATTCGAAAGCAGGTAATGCCGTAAGCTGAGTAACCAACGAAGGAGAATTCTGCCAACTGTAAAGGGAGATTAGGCCCCAGGGGTTTGAGACAGAGCACAATTGCGGCAAAGGGAGTGCCCGTGGCAGCTTATCAAGGTTTTCTTAGTAGTCACCACCGCCTAAAAGGCGATCCCCTGGTGGCGGGCTTGAAGCAGCCGTCCACGAAAAGTTGCTATCTTCCATTCACCCCGTTAAAGTGCTATTTTTCGATCACCAGAGATAGAAAGCAAATTATCGTGGACGAAAATTATGTTTTTGGAAAGAAACAAGCCCTTGAAAACCACACTTTTAAACGTTGGGATCGAAGGGCGGAGCTAATTGGCGGCGCATGGAAAGAAAAACGGCGTGGGGTGGTTACGCAATGCGTGACGCATCCGAAGAATCTAATTGAAGTCTTCAAATTCTGAGAATAGAGGCAAAACGATCCGTAGAAAGAGATGCAGTAAAGAAGGGAAATGTTATTACCTTCGGTGGAAAAGGCCATAAAGTGTTCAGATATGGTTCGCTAGAGGAACAATCGACTTCACTTTCCGCAGCGCGAAACCTTTTGACTGTGAGAACCTCATGTTCACTTCGATCAGTGGTGGACTTAGGGTTCCCACAGCAAAAGATTTTGCACTGATAAAGGTGGAAAAGTCGCTTTCTGGCTTAGTGAACCACACGCAGAGTTTCTTAGTGAAGACCCAGACCCAGTGAACCAAGTGGAATCGTCGCCGTCGCCAAACATTTGTGACAGATGACGGACGAGATAAACGTCAATCAAATATAGCCCAAAACGAAAAAAAACTACGCGTTTGAACGCTACACAGTCCTTGTGGTTTCCCGAATGGTTTACCCAAACTTTATTATTTTTTTATTTTTATTTATCTCGGATTGATGGTTCTCAAGCTAGTGATTTATAGGCGAGATATAACCATGATTTTTCTGGAAATATTCATTCAATTTGCTTACCTGTGGCAGATGTTGTGGACGATGGCAGTGTCCACCTTCGACGCCACCACTACTTTTGCACGCGATTGTAGTCGGATACCATCTCTTCACGATATTGAAGGCATAAATATCGCAAAGGATCTGTGTAACTGCCGGGAAAAATGTACAGTAGGCAGAATAGGCCCATCTTTTGAACATCAGCTTATCAAGCTTCGATGTATCCGTTCCCTAAAATGAGGTCATCAGAACGTAGCTTAGGTTCTGATCGTTCAGCAACACAAATCGTGTATAAAATGGGTTTTCCAACGTACTCGTCTCCTGAAGCTGTCACGTTCACGGCACATACTGGCGAACCCAGCGATGACGAAGCACGTGCCAAAAAATACAAGCACCGATCGAGGCACCAAGGAGAAACCAACAGGGTCATCGGATCGGTGTTGCCCACGGAGCAGATTCCAGACAGTT